GAGCCTACATTAAATTTGGCGTGACAATTTTTTAATTTAAGGCAATGCTAAAAATTAATCATTGGCTCCTTAAACACACGTTAAGGTGTTTAAGGGGGCAAGACGATATTGACGCTGTAATCATCACATTAAGTATGCACTAATATTTATGATTATTATTTGTTTTTGCGGAATTACAACATCTGAATCAAAACAACAATGTTGCGTTATACGAAACAATTTTTATAACAATATCTTAACGAAGATCTTGTGTTGTAATTGTTATGATCAAAGAAACGCGGAAACTTGGCATTTCAATTAACATCTGTCGGGAGCTGAGTGAATAATGTCCAATGATTATTCTATTGTAGATTGTAATGTAGGGAATCTCCATGCTTTAATTAACCGTTTGTTGCAAAATTAATTCAACACGTGTGTATTTTATAGTTGTTTCACACAAAGGCACAAAAGCATAACAGTACTTAACCCACACTTATTACAGTTCTATTATTCGTGCGTCCAACTGGGAGTACTGCTATCTTATTGCTCTGCATCATTTGTTTTCCCTCGTGTGAAACTATAATTAGTTGAGAACATAAATTGTGAACGTTAGAGACTAATATATTATGGAATACACGACGTATTGAGGACGACATCAACTTTTTTTGTTTCTATGATGCAAGGGGAACAAGAGTCGTCTGGTAAGAAATCATTGTTAAACTTGTTAGAAAATATACGTGAAATACCAGCTACATAATGTGTTTGTTTTAAATTTACGGTATGGATACTTTTGCGTGATCAAAGTAGGAATATCATATATTAATGGAATTATATTGAACCGCATTAGTAGAAATGTATGTCATTCTTGAAGGGATTTGAAAGAAATAAATATATCTTGGTTTATCTAATGGTACTTGCCATTTGCGCGATAGATTAAACTATAGAGATTGATGGACACGTTGGTTACTATAATTGTCGTGTCACGATTGATGGTAAGGATCACTCGGTAGATTTACGCTGAGATCTGACGCTGGCGTCAGAGACGGTCGTTAGCGAACTCTGTTGAAAGACAATTGATTGAGCTTGTCTTCAACCTTAGATATATTACTAACCAAACTGTGCCAATAACATTCGTTGCTGTATAACTCTACTGCCGTGACAGTTGTATTAATAAATATTCTCATCTCTTTGATTGTATTCGATAAGAAAGAGACAATACTAATGTCACGGTAGTCTAATTCTATCATTACAAGCACTCGGCCCTCAAGGAAAATAAAATACGCGACACAAATTAACAGCAGGGTATTAAATTTTACCTTTAAAATTTAATTTCCTACTCTAACCGCAGTTCCAAGATTCCCCTTAATGTTTGCAAGTATGATATTAGTGTTTGCTAAAGTTTTGTTTGTTGAATGGGAATTAATAATGTAACCGCACACTGGTCCACGAGCAAGGGAATTATTAAATAGTATATCTGCGGAAAACCACAGCAGGGAACATCCACCTTGACCCACAACCGCAGACTGTCCGATGAACTTGCAATTATTATTAGCAATGTTAAGTTTTAATCGACTTTTATAGTTTGTGTGAATCTAGCTCAATAAATACCTATGTATACGCAAGAATTTAATACGACATTACCGAAAAGCATAAATTATGAAAACAGCAAATGCACAGTCCACTTGTATAGTTTAAACTGAAGGTATACAGCGAACAAGGTCCAATTATCCCAACCACCATATGTTGCTAATACTTTTTCATATAAACAGTTGTTTTATGTCAAACTGCTTGCACGTCTCGGTATCTTTTTGCGGTATCAGCCTTTCAATGTTCCCGTGTACCGTAAATAATGGACACAAAAATGGTAACCACCGATACATAACGATACGGACCTCCGCTGAATACTTTATTTTTGTATTTCACTGTCGGAAAAAACGGCGAATATTCAATTCAAAACTTATTGTTTTCAATTCACACATGTCCTTTAAAGTGTATACGGAAATTTGCATGCGATGAAAGGATTTTAAAGAATAAATACTCCCTTGTTCTTACTGAAAGAAATCGGATAATGAGGGTAGGTTTACAAGATGACAAAGAATTTTCCGATAATTTTGGGATTGAAATAGTTCATTGAACCCAGTGGCGACAGTCGATAAATGCGTGTACCAACAATCACCTTGTGTTCTCGACGAACCCTGACAAACGAGCCATTGTGGGGAAGGCGGCACGGCGCGGCGGCGTCGGTCACAATTCATTCGCGATCATGGGAATGTGCTCATTATGGTTCCGCATTGTTATTATTCAATTATTTCGAAACGTCTACCATCAACATATAAAATACATACACTATTAGGATTAATGCATTCGTTGTTGCGATATAATACTTGCTGTTATCTCGGCTATACAGATCGATTCTCTTGAGTTGTGTAAATGCGTTAACTAAATATCAGCTTGTAATTTGCGCGTTGGACGAACTAAATGGTCAAAATTAAAATAATTTTCATCTATTCTTAAAAAGTGTCGATGGCTATTGAAATCATTAGAATTATCTTAATATACGTATTATTGCCTAATATTTGATTAACAATGTAGAGGCTTAAAGAAATAATCTCAATGTTTTACACAATCAAACTATTTTTAATTGTTCCACCAGAAAGCATAGTCGATTTTAAAAGTTCAGCACTTATCTTATCCCTGTAGTGTACGCAATTAATTGGTTTAAATGTATGTAATAAAAACTTTATATCTTTTGAAAGTTGTTCGGTCAGCGCATAATTTTGTAAAGAAAACAATATAACCACAACTCCGGACTATGGTTATTACGATTGTTAAATTCAAGGACGGCCATTTTGTTTTTACACAGGAACGCAATTGCTGTCAATTTGACATGCATGTCCATGTTCCCGCCAGAAATAAATATACTTCGTAATGGAATTAACGATGTATTAATGTAGTTTATTATTTATTATTTATTATTGCGTCTGCTCTAATAAAAATCACCCTTTAGGAAATTAACAGAACCAAGCGTTGGACCTCTCTCAACAATACTTTTATTTTATTCGATATATTCTTGCGTTTATTTATTCCTAAGGTAAATATCGTGGTTTCCATTAGGTCCCTGTCACAAAAACTTTTATATCAAAATCCTCTTGGATCTTGACATAAGCTGTTAGAGACGTCTACTGTCACGTTTGGGATGAAGGACAAAATAAAATCTATAACTATCGTGGGAACGATCACTCTTACAAACGAGATACTTTTTTTCTAAATAATAAGGAGTGAGTGCATAAATGATATCATAATATTAAAAGATTTTCGTCAGTATTTGTCTTCATAATTTTAAAGTCTACAGAATAACAAGCTAATATTAAAAACTATAATATTCAATACACAAAAGCGTGAATAATTTAAAAGAGTACCCGACGCGTCTGCCATGTACAAAAGTAAAAAGGTTAGCAGACCTTCTTTATTCATCTCTGATGTTGAGTAAGTACAAATGTCTATGTGCACGACTTACAGACAAATCCGATTAACGTCCAAGCTCAAAGCCTGAGCGTCTATTTACTCATTTGCGCCTCAAAAGAATACTTTTTGCTTTACTTTTGGTATCGGCAAGACTTAATAGCTGTGACCGTGAAGTAAATATAATGGTGTACAATAACTAAGAACTTGTCAGGTAACTTCAAGTTCCATTCTATAAGGAAGTTTGATTTAAGGTCGATATGTGGGACATGCTTGTCATCCCGTGGCCGTACATTCCCCGTTGAACTAATAAATTATACGCTACATACTCCCTAAGTTTTAGACCTACGATGTAGAAATTGTCAGTTACTTTAGCAAACTTAATTAATTTTCAGTACCGACCGCATGTTGCTTAATGCTATCCAACATTATGTAGGTTAAGTAAATTTATTATAACAGAAGCGCTTGTTTTATATTTCATTTTAAGTTATTACATTTATTCATCGCAACCACGATCAAATGCATAAACAAGAAACAAAAACATATTACGCCAAAAGATATTTTTAGATGGCACTTCATTGCTACAATAATTTTACCGCAATTCTGAGCGTAACCAAAGGACATGAAAGTAACTTTGAATATTTTTAAGTGCAATCTAAATAGTGTATTTAATTGACAGTATGTCAAGTTATAATTAGGAAGAGACATTTTCGAGACACATTAGCTTGCAGAAGCACACTCGCCGGGGGTCAAGTACTGCTTCAAAGAGAAATGCAAACATTTGCATATGAAACACGGAGACAGTTTTAACCACATAATACTATTTTGTGTGCAAAAGAAATTATATTTGAAAGTTATAAAATAAATTGTGTTTTAAACATATTTTACGGCATACTAAGGTGGTCCTATGTTATTAGTTTTATTGATAATTATTTAGTAATATTTTTCGCACGTGCAATGTAACCTCTGCTTTTATTTAAGTTTTATATATTTATGGTTGAATTATATTATTATTTATTCTTAAACTTATTACGGACATATAGATATATAGATGTTTTATTTATATTGAACCTGACGATTCTAAAAATGTTCATACATTTGTGTACTCCGTTGTACTGAATGTTGCAACATGCACTCACTAATCTTTATCATCCAATTTCCGGAGCTGACAAAGAATGCATCGTTTACAGATATGGGTCATCGGTTTCTATTTCTGAGGTGACATTGTCATAAACGTTTTTCGTACACAATGCACAATACCGTTTAGTTTAAATTAACTATTTATTTCAAATGCACCGAATTCTATTATCTAAATACGCTATAGAAAACGCTTGAGAACAGTTCTCTTCTGCTTTTCTTAAATCTTAAGTCTTATTTTTGATTGCACAAACAGCACGACAAATACACAATACAACAAACATTCAACATTTAAATATTACGAGCAAGGGTCGAGCATATTGGCACATATTAAGGGACTAATAGCACCAATGATCAGGATGCGTAGATAAAAGAAATAGTATTAAATTTCGATAAATTCTTATTGGATTATTTTTGGACAGGATATAGGTCAGTGTGGACGATGCTGACGAGGTGGTTGACGTTGGCGCTCGTAGCGGCGACGTGGCGAGCTGCCGACGCATGCAGCTGCATGCCGCAGCATCCTCAGACACACTTTTGTAAAAGCGACTTCGGTAAGACCACGAATAACATATGACACCATTCAAGTCTCATCTTATCTTGTCTATTGTTTTGGTATTTAAATATGCAGAACTTTTTCCAAGGGGCAATACATTACTTGAGTACAGTACAATGATCAAAACCAATAAGTCAAAGTTCAATTATTGAATTTAGTTTATATACCAACTTTAGAGTTAAATTAGTAAATTTATTAACATTCACTACACGCATATAATGATTAGTTCAAACAACATAAGATAAAGTATTTCTTATACAAAGTACAATATTGCTGGAATTTATATGACGTTACAAATGTTTTGTTATCGTTTCAGTGATCGTGGGGCGAGTACAAAAATTGTTCAGAGGAAATGACACTTACGACGCGTACAAAGTGAAAATTCGAAACATCTACAAAGTAAGTGAGCTTTTGTTATGCGCTTTTGTGCTTTTAACGAGCTTTATATGGGAAAGTCGAACGCCATTACGTGATGCATAATTCAAGAGCGAGGGACTCAAAATATTATACGAATTTCGGTTGTAATGTAAAGACTCCGTGGATAATTTGTTAAGAGTCGATTTCTGAATGTTGTCACGTCCGGGAGATTTAACTTTAAAGAGCTTACATTTTATTTTTGCCTTTAAAAGCAGCCAGCGACATTAACACACTTAAATCTAAGGACGCTTACATTTAATTACGCATATGCATATAATTTTACACTCGTTTAATTTAATGTCAAGCTTAAGTTCGTAATTAAAATTTTAAAAATGTAGATCATTTTGCCAATGAGTTGTACACATCATAGCAAACTATATAATTGCTAGATGAAGCCAAGTATAATTGAAGTAAAACAATCTAATTAGATGCGTCAAAAGAAATTCTATAATTTTTAGATGAATATGTTTCTATAATATTACAGTGTGTATTTTTGTTTTGTTACTTAAATTAATTGTTCACAGACGACACCGAAGGCGGTGGTAGCACTTAAATCAGGACGATTGCTGACTGCGTCACAAGAAGCCCTTTGCGGCGTTAGCCTACAGCCCAGAGAGACCTATGTCATAACAGGTAACTATTGTGTTAAACTTTTGATATCTGGCAGATTGTAAGGGCTTACGAATCAAAGTATTTGAGATTCGTTTCAGTATTCAGCCATAAGTATACATTATTTACATATTGACACGATTTAAGCAACTGAACCGATTTTGATGAATGAGTTATCACTCTATTCGAATTCCTCTGAGTATCATAAAGTTGTTTTTTTTTATTATTAACAATTTGTGACATTTGTTTTATTCCAGGTAATGTTGTGCACCTTCAAGCGCACATAGACTTCTGTGGGTACGTCAACAAGTGGCGGGATGTGACGCCGCGACAGCGAAAAGGCTTCAGGCTACTCTACAAACAGGGTTGCACTTGCAAGGTATAATACAAATTTAAATACAGCCCACACTTAGCACATAACCACATTCCTTCACAACTAATGTATTGTTGCTTAAACTTACAAAAACACAAGTATCATACTACTCGTTTTTTTTAAATAAGAAACATAGCATGTTTTAGTGATTTTTAAGGCAGAGGAAACTCTGAGAAACCTGTAAAGTACACAAGTCCAGCCTCCTTAAATCTTTAATTAGGCTCATAATCACAAATTATGGAAAAAATTAGAACAAATACATACTTGAAAATAACTGTAGGTAAATGTAAAACATACCTTAGCCATAAAACAAAACAATAACAAATATGTATGGAATACACGCAAGGAACGGACGCATGGGTTGAGTCTATTCATGCAAATATTAGCCTGGCTCTGGATTTGTTGCATGCGGTGCTTTTGTCTTCTAAAACAAAACCGCTTTTTTATTTTTAATCTAGTTTTTATTAAAAAAAAACCCTAATGTCCCTAGTCCTTAATATGAAAATTGGTATTGTAAAACTGTTCATCTTAAAAGTGAAAAAGCATAAATTTTAAGTATTACTGAAAACTTCCATAAGGCGATGTTTACGACTTCGACGTAATTTAATTTAAGGCTTTCGTAAAAACCGTTTCAAAAGAACGCGAGAGTTATTTAATTAAGTCTGATATACGAACAATTTAAGATACACGTCCTAATTCAAGTGAAAGTGAATTTATATGGTAGGTATTGGAACAGACGAATTTATTTATTCGACCTAATTGTTGGAAAGCGACGTAAAAATTTATTACTGTATGTATTTTCTGTAACACTGACATTGTACGATATAATTAAATTCCCTTTCAACTAACAACAAAAGTGAAATCAATTTCGAATATTATTCTTTTTTTAACATGAGGTGGCAAACGAGCAACCGGCCACCTGAATCCGCCAAAATGGCGAAGCGACCGCTGCCCATAGACAACCGCAATTGCAGATTATTATTCGTAGAAACGGAAATCGAATTTCAAAACTTCGGTTTCGTAGTATTAAAACCTTCAAGCCATTGTTACAGTCAAATATAAAAAAATGGGTAGGATATAAACATCCTGTATATGAAAATTTAATAATGTTTCAGGTGCACGTGACGGGGCGCCGCACAAAGTCCCCTAATACCTGCGTCACAAACTACGACGACTGTTTTGAGAGGCACGGCATCTGCCTGCACGATCGCGACCGACGATGCCGTTGGACGAGGTAAAGTATAGCTATGGGTTTTCATTGTATAAACACTTGTTTAGAAACATAAGTTACCTTTTATAGTCCTTTTTTTAAAATGTGATATATCTTTACTACAAGCTCTCGATGACTAATATTGTAATGAAATTGTTTTGAAATACAGCAAACTTATGTGTTGAAGATATGTTAAAGTTTCCTTTGATGTGTTTGTGTATGTTGATGTATGTTTGTTCCAGGGCGCCCGCTCTCACGAGGTGTTTGCAGAAGCCGCACTTCAATAGCACGATGACTTGAATCGCCGCATCGAATGTAAACATTAATCGTAACAAACATTTTGTATATCTCGACAAGCCTTTGGAAATTCCCATGTTACCTTACGTTTTTTATACTAATAATTCACCGATATACGATACAAACATGAGTTACTAAGCCAAAACGATCATTCTAACACGCCTACTAGGTTAATTTATATTTAATGTTAGTACCCCGTCTCAAATGTTTTAAAGGGCGGTATCACACGGCCGTATCGTCTTGGGGAACCCTAACAATTTATTCATCTTCATGAAGGTTTACGAAACGCAGGCAGCATGCATTATATGGCTATGAATCAGTAATTGAGTGTATGTCGACTCTAAATAGGAATTTACAACAAAAAAAGTATTTGGTATGATTCAAAGATGACGAATTTACTCACAAATTCTATTATTTGTTATCCTTTGGACTTTATGTTGATTGTGTTAGCGTTGAAGTGAAATTCTAACGTTATTTGTATTATTTATTTTAAGTTATATTATTATTTATGTTTAAGTTAAATTTGTAAATTAACAAAAAAGTTAGGTTAATGATTACATAAAATAAAGACTTAAGAAAATTACTGTTGTTTTTATATTGATAGCTTCACCCAGTAAACGACATAATGAAAATCTTCGTGCTTGTATAAAATGCACATAGTCAAAATTTCTACACAATCCAACGAATGGTTTTAAAAAGTATTAAATATCGTTAGCGCCTGAAATTTAAGAATTGCAATGTTATATCTACGCACTTACCATGTCGGTGTAGTTATGGTAGTAGGTTTGCTCTATCAGCGGGAAGTTCTCTCTGCCGAGACGACGCTGCAACTGGAGTAAGTGGCCGAACACCCACGGACGATCCTTTTAACAAAAAACAAATGTTATACAGGACGAATAGTTACACCATCTCACTTGGAGTAGGAAAATAAAATAATGGACATAGCAAATATCGACCAAAAAACAATACTAAAGATTACTCAAAGAACACCGAAAAAGTGAAAAAAAAATTCCTTCAAAGGAATAGACAGAAATGTCAATATTTTATCACTCTAGTTGTCTAAATTCATAAACTTATTCGACTTCTTAATTTTAGCCAAAAAACACATTGCGTAGTTTCCAACATAAACATAAACTTTAAGGGACACACCAGTTATAAAAATATTTAAAAAGGTTACATCGACGAAGAAATATTGCCAAAACTTAAGTAATATTACGTCCTAACTACATCAACTCTAACACAATATTACAGCGCAAATCCGATACAGAGTAAGAAAACTTTCTTCATTATACCCTCATCAATGTTAATATTAACTTTACTTTGATACAGATACCATCAAAGAATAATAGAACATCAAAGACTAACAAACTCTCTACCTTATGTGAGAATTCATTTATAGAGTAACGACACAATTTGGTTACATTTGGTCCAACATAAATTAAGTTAAATCTACCTATGGCAACAGCTCCTCTCAGAGACATTTATGGATTAAGTCCCTTGGTGTACACCAAGGGACTCCTCCAGTAACTTGCTCGATAATTTTGTACCGCCGAGTAAGAGACTTGCTGCTATTATTTGTACCCCTTTGGTTCCCGATAGGTTCTGTAAATCTATCATTAGATTCATACATATAATAATGTACCTGGAAGTGGTATATAGAGTTGAGACTGTTGATGGAAGGCACGCCGCCGAACTTGAGTCCGAGCAGCAACGCGCGGTGGTCTGCGCCAGCGTCGCGCACGTTCTGACGCACCAGCACGAAGTCCGGCCTATAACAACGATAATATTAACAAACAATGACAAATGTGAAAGGAACTGAAATATGAAAAAAAAAATAAAAAAATTAAAAAAAAAATAAAAAAATAAACAAAACGAAGGTAGAAAAATAACGACGCTATCCAAAATTCCGCTGAATAATAATGGCCGTTAAAAAAAAAATATATATTAATGGTGGGTAGATAAATTCCTACACTCCACTAATCC